TGTGGTAGAAAATTACGGTGGAAAATATAATTTCTATCAGAGTTGGCGGCAACAATGAAAGAAAAATGAGAACGAAATGAGCTCGATTTGTTGCAATTCTTTTAAATTTAAATCCAATAGAAGAAAAGCTTATATTTTTTCTTTTTTCTTTTTTTAAAAAAAAAGATTTAACTAATAGAAAGATGAAAGAAAAATATGGAATTTTTTTTTTTTTTTATTTTTATTTTGTTTCTAAGAAATTTGAAATGATAAATCTTAAAAGAAAATTGAGAAAAAAAAAAAGAAAGAAAGAAAGAAATAGAAGCAAAAGGAAGTGCTTTTTCCACCTATTTCAATTTGCTACACTAATATTTTTGTTCAATTTCAACTGTATGCTTTTTAGAAAGAAATAAAAAGAAAAATTATTTGGTATATATATTTTTTTCTTTCTTTTTCTTTTTTTTTTTTGTTTGTGAGGCATCAAAAATTCTTTTTCCCTTCCAACTGTCTAACATAAATTTTAATCCAAAAAAAATGTCTGTTTCCGCTAATTCGTTTATTTTGCTTATCAACGATATGCTTATTTCAAATTAGCCTCTTACTATCATCAATTTCTATTTTGCTAATTCTATTTGTGATCATAGAAAATTCTACAATTATAATTGTTGTATATTTCTCTCTCTCTCTCTTTCCCTCTCTCTCTCTATTTAGCTATTGTTTCTAATTTTTTTCTTCTTCAATAAGAGAGAATTTCAATTTCTAATATATTTAAAAACATATGAATACAATAAAATGGAATATAGCAAAAAGAAAAGGGAAAGGGAAAGAAAAGAAATGAAACGATGCTAAATGGTTGACAATTTTTTTTTTTTTTTTTTTTTAAAATGACACAAATCAATTTTTGTGAATTCAATTGCTATCTGTTATCATTGTTGTAATTAACTCTTATCATATCATAAAGTGCGATAGCAAAAAAAAAAAAAGATGAATGAAATTTTAATATTTATATTATAAATTTTATAATCAACGATATGCTTATTTCTACTTTATTGTTTAAATTAAATTAATAACCTGTAATTTACTTTGTATTTTAAATTAATGAAATTTTATAATTTACTATTATTGGTTAAAAAAATTTTTTCTCAATTTTTTTTTATAATTGAAAATAATATTATCATAGTTTACATAATATTACTCGTTAAGTTCTATTTTTAATTAATCTTATCAAATTTTTCCAAAAAAAAAAAAAAAAAGTAACATTAATGGATATAATAATATTCCAAATTCAACAATAATTAAATATTTTATTTTCTATTATATTTATTTTTTATTCAATGCTTCTTCGTTTTTTTTTTAAAAATAATAGTAAAATAATTAAAATCGTTATTTTTTTTTATTATATTTATTTTTTATTCTTTTTTTTAAATAATAATAAAATAATTAAAATGGTTTTAATTAAGACAAGGATGTAAACAAAAAAATATATATATTTATGCAAAAAAGGCTTATTTTCATTGAAATTTCTCTAAAAAATTTCATTAAATTTTGCAAAAAAAAAAGAAAAAAAATGGTATTTGCAGCGATTACTTTTCATTTCCTTTTACTTTGTATAAGTAAGTATAAAGCCAAAGAGCGATCAATTTGACAGGCCTATAAAATGAGATTAGGACAAAAAAGACATTGCAACTATCTCATTTCATATAAATTTAGTAAAAAACATTTTTATATTAATGCAAAATTTGTTATTTGCAATTTTTTCTTCTTTTTTCTTTTTCTTATATTCATTTTCTTATTTCATAAATGAATTTTGATTGAAATTTTTCTATTGATTAAATTTTTGAAAAAAAAAAGAGAAAAAAAGAAAAGAAAGAATCAAATTATCTATTGAAAATGTGAAAAAAAAAGAAAAAATTGTCATAAGAATGTATGTATTTATTAAGTATTATTGAGAGAAAAGCTAATTAAGATTAAAAAAAAAAATAATAAATAATTTTCTCCTTCTGATATAATTATCATTTAACTATTATAATTATATTTGATTAAATTTTTCACTTTTAATAAATGCTTTTCTCATTTTACAGCTAATATTATTTGTTAAAAATATTATATTAGTCATACATATATGTAACAAAATAATGTAAACTTTTCAGTGATTTGTTCGTTTAAATTATAAATTAGTTAGTTTAGATTAATTTTCAACTGTTTTAACTTAACTATTTTAATATTAGCTGATTTTCACTTCTGCAAATTAATTTCATTTTTTTAAATGTGAATTTCAATAGCCTGAACAGCTGCAGTTTTATTCGCTCCACACCAAAACATTTCAGGCAATCAGACGACGATTAATATTTATTTTCACACTTTCATCTGATTATATCATTCGTTTTTTTTTATCTTTCTACAGCTGACTAATAATAAAAATGAAAAAAATAAGTGAAAAAAATAAAACAAAAGCTGAAAAATCTCACTAACTAAAATTGTAAAGCAAAAAAAAAAAAGAATTTTTCAAAATTATAAGTTTAATATGAAAAATTAAAACAAAGATTTAATTTTATGTTTGTGCTTGAAATGAATTAGTTACAAAAATTATCGCTGCTATCATTCACTAATTAATAAATTAAAAGTTAACAATAATGTAGGAATATATGTAAATAACAGTTTCTTCCTTTTTTTTTTTAGAACAAAAGCGCATACGATAAAAGCGCTTCCCTCCATTACGTTTAGAGTGGTAAATTTAAAAACTATAAAATGTAAAACAGTTAACGAAAAAAAAAAAAAGAAAAAGTTCATTAGATTAGTGAAATAAAAGAAGAAGAAAGAAAGAACATAAAAATGATAAGAAGAAAGTTAGTAAATAATGCTAAAACGAAATCGGAAAATGAGGAAAAGAACAAAGAAAGGTATTGTGAAAGGATTGAAATGGCTGTTTCTTCATGAAAAAAAAAAACGAAAGCCATAAATCAGAGGACAAATTTTAATGGAACAGCCGAAAAGATCCGAAAAAATTCCATTTCGATATTTAACAAAAACGAAGCGACAACATTTAAGAAATATTGTTTTATTTTTCATGGACGAATAAAAGAGAGAGAGAGAGAGAGAGACAGTTTTTTTTTTCTTTTTTTTTTTAAAGATTGGGAAAAATGAAGTCAAATTTAGGCGCAAAAAAAAAAAAAGCTTTGAAGATGTGATTATAAAGAAATTGAAGAAATTGAAAAAAAAAAAGTCATCTAACAATAAGAAGAAAAAAGATATACCGCCAGGATGTCTAAATAATAAAATACTTAAAAATGACAAAAGATAATTTTTCAAACATTACCGCTATCTTTCTATAATTCTTACATTTAATCTAAATCCTTTTTCTTTCTTTTCCAAATTTATTGTCAATATTTTGTTGCAAAATTTTTAGCCTTTTGTAATTTATGAAATGGAATACTATCTTTTCCGTAGGATCTTTTAATTTGTCCTTGCTTTTAAATTACTGTCATTTTGTCAACTAGATATGCACATAAATTGTTGTGTAGTTGTTTGCAATTCATGAAAGTTAATTTTAATGTGATTTTACTACCGTATCATTCCATCATTTCATTAGATGTTGAATTTTTTCTTTTTCTTTCTTTTTTTTTTCATGAGAATCTAATTTCATCCTTGCTATTTTATTTAAAAAATTATTATTTATGAAGTTTGCAATCATAAGTTGCAGAATTTCATTAAGATAAAATTTTTCTCTATTGATGAAGAATGAATTTTCAAGGATTAAATTTTGCAAACATTATTTTGCTGCTTCGACATTTCTCTAATGTTGACTTAATCATCCCCTTTCCTAACTTCCATTATTTCAAAATTGATTTCTTCTTTTCAAAGTACTGAAATAGAAACTGCCCAATGTTTTGAAGAATTAAAAATGGATAAATTACATACATCTCTCAGATGTGAAAAAAGTTCAACCCAATATAGTTTGGAAATTTGAAGATAGGATGCGAAAAGCTTCCTCATAGCATCTCAACTTCAATAATAATTTACTTTTGTTAGTTCATGTTTTAAGTCAAAAAGAAGAAAGGAAAAAAAAAAAGTCTGCACCGTAAGACTCAGTTATGACTAAAATATCTTATACTTTTAATGAACAAAAGTTAATATTAAAATTAAAATTTATATAATCAAACTTACTGCTTAGAAAATTTCAAAAACACACAATTTATCCTAGAAGAAATCACTTTAATGCTATGTCTTTTTCAGTTGCTCATTTTAAACTTCTTAATTGATATGAACAAATAAATGTAAACATTTATTTTCAGTCAAAAATTTCCTACCCATACAATGAGATCTTAAAACTGTGTTATGTCTTATAACATTTGTTAGATCATACAAATCAATACGATATCTATTGCTATACAAAAAAAAATGAATAGAATTAATTAATATATTTTACCAATAAAAGAAATGGTAATGTATAAGAATGAATTATATATTCATGTTGTTGCGTATGTATATATAACGAATGGTTATCGAACAACAATACATTTATTTTGTTATTTTATCCTATTAATGCCATCCTTTTCTTTCTATTTTTCTTCAAGAATGAAAAAAAAAAAAAAGATGCTCTATTGTATTAATAGATATTCATTTATTGCTAGGTTAGGTAAAAGATTACAAGAAAATAAGGCCAGTTTTCTTCATTGATTTAAGACAACAAAGTAATATTTCTAACTTAACTTACTTATAATACATTGTTTTCTTTTTTTTTTTTTTTTTGCCTCAAAACATTCCGATAAAATATCGAAGGCTGAAGGATCATCTACTTTTCTTGCTGCCAGATTATTCAACTTCTTGATATTCAGTATTAGTCTTATGTTTATTGCTACTTGTAGATTATAGAAGACTACCGATTCTTGAAGAACTATTAAACTGAATAACATTAAAAATAATGCTTTCCATATTTAGCTGTCAAAATACTATCCTGAATAATAAGGTGAAATTTCATTTATCATCAATAAGAGAGCAAATAAAAACATACAAATAATGTATTACGAACGGAATGTAAATGCATTCATATTTTTCTGGTAGTAAAGTGGAAGCTGATGATCACGACCCCTGAAATAAAAGTAAATCTTAGTTTGTGGATAAGTTGAGCTATATATTAGAATATAGTTTTCACAGTAGCTTCATCTATGTTTATTGTATCATTACATACATCAATGTTATGAAATATTTATGTTTACAGAGAAAAAAACTTAAGTGTAAAATATATATATAAAAACAAACAAACAAACCTATAAGGACGAGAAAAAAGATGCTCACGAGCGAATTGCCCAGAATTACTGGCAGCACTAATTGATTCAAGAAGGATATCAAAACGTGAAACTAAGAATGCTATTTGTGCTCCTAGGATATTATTTGGATCGTCACATGTCACATAGGTAGCAAAATCTGCATTCAAAACTCGCTCCACGTGCTAAATTCAAAATTTCTTACTAATTTTCACCTGCATCTTTTTTTTTTTTTTTTTTCAATCAGAATCCGATAAAGAATCATTCATTGAAATGAACAAAAAGAAATCTGTTCCTTACAAATGTTTATAAGAAATTATTTGTTTAGAAACTGAAGAAAACTCGAAAAGTATTTGGAACAGACAAAATAATTTGTTTCCCAGAAAGTTCAACTATTGCACGAAAATAAATGAATTTCCTGGATAGAATGTATCAGAAAACGCATTCAGCAATGAAACATAATGAATTACTGAAAAAAAAAAAAAAAAAAAAAAAAACAAGAAATACTTACAATAAGAGTGTTATTAAATGATGAAACTTCCGTGTTATCCAAAGAAAAAGTCAGGATATAAATTGGCTTCACTTTCGGATACTTAATGTCAACCTGAAGTTTGCCTTATCAATCATTAATGTCCATCAAAAGGTGGAGAAAATATAGTATGTATATGGATTAAATTTGCATAATGATTTAAATATATATATGACGAAAGAACTGCAATAAAGAAAAAAGATCAAATCTCAATTGAACAATTTTTGAAAAACAAAAATTTAATGTATTCAGAGAAGCTGTTCACATAGATTAATATGTTATTTTAACTCTGTCAAACATTTAAAGAGTGTTAAATAAACCATACAAATATTAAAGCATGAAGTTTGGCTCCTGGATCTCTTTCAACTGTTGCAGAAAAGTAAAATTGTTTGCTAATATTTGTTTGTCGTTCAGACTCTATCAACTTTCGGTACTCTTTTGTTACTGCTTCATTTTCCTAAAATAAATATCATAAGTTGTGAGAAAAGTATTAAAAGAGTGCTTTTTTTTTAGTTTCTGATTTTCGGTATTCTTTTATCACTGCAAAGGAAGCAGTATTTACATGAAATACTAAAACTTCATATACTAAACCAATTATGGGCATCATTAAGGATTACAAATGTTTTCCATCTTATTTAAAAATAAACGAAAAAATACACCAATATAATTGCTTAATCAATAACGCAAAATAAAACCATGCTATTTTATTTTAGAAATATAAAAACATATGAGATAGAATATAACAGAAAAAAAAAATAATCCATTTCATTAAGTTTAAAAAATTATATGAAATTAACTAACGAAGAACTGCTCAGCAGTAATCATTCGAAAATTGGTTAGTTTTGAACAGACATTATCCGGGAAATCATTTCGGTTTTTTAAATCATCAAATACTTTCAAAGAATCTGTAATAATACTTATAATTCTTCATAAATCTGTAATAATACTTATAATTCAGTTACTTAATCTATAAATTAGAAAAAAATATGACAGCAATATCAATATCTTCCAGAATCCAAATTTCACTCTTCGATATGGCAAGTTGTATTCATAACCTCCGCAAAGTTTGGATGAGGATTTTGGGGAAAAAAAGAGATATTTCAAATTTTCACGAACACAGAGCCAAATTAAAAAAAAAAACCCTTTATTTTTACTGCTTTCAAAAGAAAAAAAAAAACATACGCAGTGAATGAGTGATTCCAGCTAGAACGCATCTTGAACGCACACGTGATCTAATCTTTCCAACAACAGAATGTATAATTTCACATAGTTGAGAATTTTTTGATGTAATTTCATCGTTTATACCGGCCATTTTCTGAGCAAATATGTAAAATCGACCAATTTTAGACTCCAAATCAGCTACGGAAATCCTTTAAAAAATTATGAACTGTAAAATAGTGGAACAAAACGAAAATTCTGAATAAACACTCAATAAATTTCCCATTGATTAAATGAATTAATTGAGATGTTATAAACTGCTATGATTTTTACATTCCAATGAAACAGATTATTTATATAAAAATATCCTAAGTTCACTTAAAAGCATACTGTAACTGATCCAATTTGGCTTGTCCTGCACTATTGACACATTTACTTCCGTCATCGCCATCAAATAATTCAGACAGAAGAGATACATCAAATAATGCATTTCTGTAAACAGTCATACAAAAAAAACATCAATTTTACAATTACATCCTTTCGAAATATTTTTCCTTTTAGTGAATTTGAAATTTAAAAAAACTCAAAATTATGGGATCAAATAAAGATTTCCGAAGAAAAAAAAAAAACACCCGTAAACTGATGTGGGTACTCGATTCAACTTTGCTATTACTCCAATTGAACGTAAACCCGGAATAAACTGTAGCACAAGGGTTACACAAATATCGTCTGGAAAGAAAAACCAGTTTAAACTTTCGATCTACACCAGAAATAGCTATGTTCTTTATTATTTAACGATTCAAGCGTGTAAATGTGCTATAAAACGAAAACAACAATTTACTAAACTTTCGGTCTGAAAATCCGAAATTTCTAAATTATCAAATTCGACGAACAAGAATACCTACATAAAGCAATTTTCTAAGCTTTAAAGTGAAATAATATCATAAGCACATTTAACTAACCTTGACAAGCAATTTCCATTTCAATATGAATGGGATGAGGAGCAACAATAGCATTCCTTCGTTCAGCAATTAATTCTTTCATGGATATACGCCTTCTTTTATCGTGACGTGCCAGTGGTGATTGTTTTCCGTCCATCTGTAACCCATCAATACATGAGAGGTAATGATTTTTTTCTTTTTTTAATAGGACTGCTTCGAAAATTCAATGCAATACTTTTCTGATGGTAACCAAACATTAACTTTTCGAAGGATTTTATGACATAGTCATCTAACTACTTACTTTAAATAAAAGTAACAAAAAACTAATATTTCTCCATCAATTAGTTATTTCATACATCTTTTTTTGAATGGATTAATTATATCGGAAGGATAAAACCGTTCTTCGTTCACACAGTAATATTTAAATTATATAAAGAGCTTCGTATATCATCTAAAAAAGAGTTAAGATAACTCACATCATCCTGGTTATCTTCATCATCAACATCTTCAGGGATTTCAAACACATGCTGTCGACTTTCTAGAAACTTCATAGCACTTTCGTAATCACCTTTGCATTTTAGTATTATACCAGACTCTAAAAAAATATGCATATTTAAACATTGCTAATGAGTAGCAAAATTTCTTCTGCCATATTATTTCATAATTTTTACAAGCGAAAGGTAATTACAGATTTGCAAATGTACTACAAAAAAATGATTATATTTCTAGAAGTTCATTGTACAAGATGTAAAACGAATTTTTTTATGGAATGGCAAGCTAAATTAACCTTTAACAATATCACAGTAAGCCTCAATCTGTATAACAATTACAGAAAGCTCCTGAGGTAACAAAGATAATACGCGCTCCTTCTCAACATCAATAGGACTGCATGTTAATCCCATTAGTTCTTGCACAGGTCTTGCTGCCTAAATCACGTAAAAATAAAGTATATTTCAGAGTCAAAAAAAAAAAATACCGTTTTTCTAAAGTTTAAAGAAATTTGTAAAAACTTTTTCAGAATGAAAAATATGAAAAAATACAATAGAAATCAACTGCTAAAAATACAAAATGTAAGAAAAAAACCTCAATCACGGCTTCAATACGTGGTTTCAGTGACTTTAATCGGTGTTCCTTTGTTGTAATATCAGTAATAAGTACGTTTTTTCGTCCTTCTCGTTCTTGCAGAGTTCCAACCAAACTATAAAAATAAAGAATAAAAAAATGCAAGACAAATACAACTGATTTATTTAACCTTATACAGGAAAGTTTTGTGAAATGACTATTTCCTTTATGTTTCCAACACCTAACGAATTAGCTAATTTTCTTTAAATTTTTTCTCGAAGTAACAAACCGGAAAGCTAATCATCGAACTAACAAAGCAAATTTTCTGAATAACTTTCGTTAGTAAATTAGAACAATCGATTTCCCTATCAAATTGCACAAAAAAGAAAACAATGTCATGCGAAATGTGCAGAACAAGCAATTTCAATTTTCTACTCCATTCTTGTTCTTCCTCATTTATCTCAATTCAGAAAAATAATAGATAATTAAATAATACTTCTTACGCTCCTGCATCTCCCAGTTTAATCGAGCTAAATGTTGTCGATGCGGATCGTTACGAGTGATTTCTTCTTGCGAGATATTTGGCGGTGCATTTGCATAGAATTCTTCTAGTGATACCAATTCAATGTCCTCATCAGCTGACCTAAATTTTTAAAGGAAAAATAAAAGCTTATACACTGTTGACTGTAATTCCTAAGTTTAAAAAACTATATAACTCTCACTGCTCTTTTTTAGAATTCAGCAGCACCAAATACTTTATTTTTACGACAGAAATGCTCACCTGAAATCATAACATCGATTAATTTCCTTCTGTAAATGCTCAATTTCACTCCTAACATTTTGCAGTTGTAGAAATCGTTCTTCAACGACGGCACGCTCTTGATTTACTCGATCACGAATTTGCCGATTTCGATACTGAGCCAAACGATTCAATCGCCGCAATGATATGAAGAGTGAAAGTAATGACTCTTCGAAATTTGATGCTTCTGATGGCTCAAATAGTTGCTATATATTTTGCGAAAAAATTTTTGGAATCTGCTAAATAAAGTAAAAGGTAAAATTAAAAATGGAAATTAAAGGGATAAATTACCTTAACTAAATCATTACATGAATCGAGAAGTTTCTGTTTGAATGCTTGCGAATGTTGTAGAAAAGATTCTTCAATTGATGCTGCGGTCATTGATAATGCTTCACGATCTTCTCGTTCATAAAATTCCTTTAAAAAAAAAATAATAATCTTACTAAAATTATTGCTGCCATCAATATTACTCAGAAATGTTCTGAGTATCAATACCCATGAAAATCTTAAATTTCATTTTCACATTTATTAACGAATGAAGAAACCTCATTTAAAAGTAAAACAATTAAACACTCAAAAAATAAATTATTCAACGAGATTGAATTACCGAAACAGTTTTTATCATGTGCTCTTCGGTTTGCTTCTTTTTCTCTGGAGACTGTAAGCTACCAGTAGTAGTAGTAGTAGGTCGAGCACGCTTTGCTGACATCCTAAAAATCTAGCACGTTCAATTTTTTTACCAATGATAAAATTCAAAATGCAATAACAATCAAACGAATAACTTTAAATTGTCATTAAACAACTACCACTCATTCTTTACCTCTACTATTTAATGCAAAGACAATAACTGTGATACTATTAAATTGCAGCAAAATTCAGATTTTTTTTATTTAGAAATCTTCAGTGTAAAAACGATTCAAAAAACATTTTAATCCTTTTTTCTTCATTCTGAATTCAATAGAAATCATAGTTTAGAATGTTTTAGTTTCCTGAGTTAATGAATACTGCTAAATGAAAGCTAATTAAATTTAGATATTGCCATTCAATTTTAATACAAATATTGCATATGAAGCAAACATAATATTCAATAACGCCGAAGAGTTTCTTTTACTAAATTTAAAACATTCTTAAAATGCATAAAAAGCAGCAGATCAAAGTAAAATAAATAAATGCAAAAATAAACCATCACCAGAAGGAAGCATGATGTGTCAAATAAAGTAAATTATGAATGAAGAAAAAAAAAATGAGCAATTTCAAAAACTAATTCATTACTTCTTTTTTAAAAATAAATCTCCTCATTCTTCCCTTTCTTCATGAGAATATGCAGGATGTAAATGGATAAACAAAAACTTGTATGATTTGATTTGTCATTCAAAACAAGGATTATGCAAACTTGAAGATTAAAAATCCAATAAATAAACATTGTTCAAGTCAAGAAAAATATAAAGTAGCAAGAGCTTGATAAATTATTCGCGATTCGGAAAAATTAATGCAAGACCAAAGTTATGACTTAATCACTACGACACCGGTCATCTATTTGAGCTCCCAATCTTGCAATGCACCAAACAAAGAAAAATAGACAAGGCATTCATATAAATGTATGGACTAAAGTAAGAAAAATAGAAAAATAAACAAGATAAGATATGGGCATCCAAAAGGTATATAAAATTCCAAAAGAAAGATATGGAAAAAAATTCTTCTTTTACTAATTAATGGAATGACAACATAAACATAAACTATATAAAAAGTTAAAGCTGCAAAACATTTGCACTTTTTTTTTCTGATTCCAAATGTGAAAATCCCATAAAATTGAAGTGTAGTAATTTACCGTTCCTATCAATTAACTTGGTTTGAAATGAAAAAAAAAAAGGAGAAAAAATCAAGTTAATGAGAAAGTTGAATCAGATTACATGAATAAGGCTGCTGAAAATTCCGGTAGGAACTCAGCTATGTTAAGAGGATAACTGAGTTGTAGGACTTTCAAAGCATCATGTTATAAAAATTACATTACTTGATGTTATAATGATTGATATAAAATCAGATCATAGAAAACCTTAATGAAATTTAATTTAGACAAAGTAAGGCATCTGTAACTATCAGAACTGATAACTTTCCCGCATGAAAGGAATATAACTGAATTCAAAAAAAAAAAAAAGATGGTTGCAATAAGATAATGATGATTGCAATAGATAAATAATAGGATTATGTAGTGTTTGTTGTCTAATCGTCATTGAATTAACAGTTGAAATTAGAGACCATCAAACACTTGCACTCGAGTCTTCGTTGCTCCAGCGCCACTCTGCAAAATTCAAAGCTACTAAATATTATAGCTGAAAATCTGGTTAATAAAAGCTCTAAATGCTAAAGTCACTGGTAAAAGCACACTGTTTCACAAAAACCAAAACGTGAATAAAATAAAATATGTGTGATGTGATGATAACATGCAAATCTATTCAATAATTATGTTTACAACTGTCCAGTACTATAAAACCTACTCACAAATTACCAAAATACGAAATTATCAGTTTATATTTTCTACTACTCTATTACGGCATCGTCTCATTTTCAATTTGTGATAATAAATAAGACAGTTCACAGAGATTTCACCTCAAAATCAAAGTGGACTGGTACTTTCTAAATAAAAAAATAAACTCCAACTAAGACTAAGTTGTAAGGTAAACATTCCTTTTTGATTTCAAACACAGCAAAAAACAAAAACACGCTCGAATTATATTAAAATCACCTTATAAATATGATATGTATATGATTCAGGAACTGACTGCAACATAAAGCTTATTAATTATTGTAATTTCCACTAAATATTATGGAACCAATAAACCAATAATTCATACTTGCAGATAAACCAAGAAAACAAAGTTCTATCTAGTAGTTAAGAGGAAATACGTCGTATTCAATGATACGGTATCTAACACAACAGGCATCTCTTCCGCACACCAATAATCCGAAATTTTTCAATTAATAAAGTTTTCTAAGGATGAATTTCGTGTTTCGTTTTTCTCAATGTGAGAAAAGTTACCTTTCTAAGCGTGGAATACTTATCAATACCCAGTTGTAGATTAGCTGCATGGATTCGATCATGTTCCGACTGACGATCTACAACTTTCAAACTTTCAATTTCGTTCCGAAATTCGGTCATCCTTTCTTGAAGACTCTTTTTTTTCTCATTATAATCAGCTCTGAAAATAATCAGAAACTTAGAGCCTACTTGTATCAGGAAATTCTAGAATTTCCTTTAAAAAGTACTTCGAAGCACCTGGATTTTTCAATTTCTGTCCGTAAAGACAAAAGATCGTTTGGTGTCATCTGATTACTAGATGGATCAGGTGGTGGACCATTCAGCAATGCTTGTTTCTTCATAAATAGTGATGGCTGTGTTTTAATTATCGGTGCAACAGTAGCTGTAAAATTTGGATCATCATCCAGATACTGCATATAACCACCATCTCCACTGCTTGATGATGACACTAAACGATGATGATTGATATAACGTTGGGGAACAGGTACGTATGCTGATAACCAATCCTGAAAATGTTACATGATAATTGCTTTTGAAGACTAAATTTTGCAGCAACAGCATATAAATTCAAAAAGAAAAATTATTGAACAACATGAAAGCGTTCAGCAATAAATGAGATATGGAAAATTTAATTAATTGAAAATTTTAGCTGATGAGAACAACCTAAATCAAACAGTTGATAAAGAATAGAATAGATTCATGAAACACGTTTGAGATCTGTTCTTTCAGAACCATGTAATTGTTATGACTGATCTCTAAAATTATCTATTAATAGTCAAACCTGTGGCCAACTCGGTTCTGAGTCATATAAATGTGCACGACATAAGTACGGATCGTAACCATGACGATCTGTTTCATGCATTAGACGATAAGCCCAAAGTTCAGCATCACGTGCTTTTCGCTCCAGAGACATTTTTGTTTCTTCCGCCAAAAAAAAAATTTTTTTTTAGTATGAAATAGCATTAGCCGAGTAATCTATATACGAACTTAACATACTAAATTCATTGTAAAAATTAAATTCATAGTAAAAATTCGCTGTTTAATCCTGCTATGTTTTCGCGTTATTTCATTTAATGAATCGAAATGAATCTACCATTGCAAATTCATTAAACAAGTGCAGATCAAAATGTGTCTGTGTGAAGTCGTTAAGAATATGCAGCTTTTTTTATTTAACTTTTGTCCCATTTAATCAATTAATCAGAATTCTCTGGAGAAAGTTTTACATATTTAACATAAGTACAAGTGCCAGATTCAAACGCCTGTATTTTTAAGTGTTTTTTTTTTTTTTAAATAAACGCCGCCTCCATCTTTACCATTATAATCCTTTACCCCATCCATAGCACAAACATAATTTTGAACTCCAAAAAAAAGTGTAAATTTGAGCTTCTACCTTGATTTGTGAAAGTTTCATGCGCTGACATTCTGCTTCAGCTTCGCTAGCTCTTTTTGATAATACAAGAGCCTCTTCTTCAGATACTCGCGCTTTTTCTGCCATTAAATGCGCATTTTCCTCGGTTTTTTTCATAGCCTCCTGAACAAATAGCATTTTTTAAGTTTTTTTTTTCCTTGGCATAATATTGTGCTTACTTAAAAGAAACATACTTTACATTACTATTCATCTTTTTTCAAAGAGCAACCTGGAAAGCAGACCAAAACAGCTTCATATTTTAATCCAATCATTTCCGGTGAGAGAATACTAAAAAGAAATTGAAAAAGGAAATATGTATTTTTTTTCCATCCACAATATGCGAAAGAGAAACTGTTAAAAAAGAAAAAAAAAGTCATTAATATCAAACAAAAATTTAAATTCTTGCACCTTCATGTTGCGTAGTTGTTCGTTGATTGCGGCTATTTCATTTTTATATCGATCTCGCTCTGCTTCTGCCTGTATACGCTGTTCTCGTTCACGAGATAAACGGTTTTGTTCTTGCTGAAAAACAAATCCATGTAATACCGAATATAAGAACACATAGAGAGAATAAAAATCATTCAAGAGTACTATACAAATCCTAAAAATTCCTCCTATCAATACCTATAGAAAAATGGAAGAACCTTTTTTCAGTAACACTTGAAATCTTTTAATAAAAAACAAACAATTCGTCTAATTCTCTGCTCTTTAGCTTGAGCTTTCATTTGCTGCACTTCGAGCAAATCTGGCTGACGTCTTCGTAAGTATAAATTATGGGTACCAACGCATAAATCCAATATGCTCATATTGATAGAGATATCTTTTGCACGAAATGTAATCGTACTTTTGTCCATTGTCCTCATATTAAACTGAAACAAAATTTACTTATAGATCTTAACTTTTAGTTCGACCATTTCACTTAAACCAGTTTAATCATATTCGTACTAAAAAAATCAATATTATCTGTACTAAAGTTATATTATCTGTATCAATATTAAAGTGTAATCTGCGTATTACACTTTATTAATTGTGTGACTGGAGAGAGACATAGTAAAGCATCAAAGTACCAAAGAAACAAATTAATCAGAATAAAGATCTCGCAAAATTATGAATCATCTAAGAAGCATACACTAAACCTACTACTTTATTTTTGAATGAAATGTTCTTAATCTCGCTCCAGGAGAAGAATGGCCGTGGTGTAATTCGATTAGATTCTTTGTAAATCCCAATTCCTTGTGCAGATACACCGAGTGTTAAATCCGTTTCTTTGTTATTCTATAATATCACTGATTACAGTAAATCAGCTATGCAAATCAAAAAACTAACCAATTTAAATATCCTTTAAAAAAATCAAAAAAAGAGATCAACTAGCTGAGACGCTGTTCAGAGACAGAGATATGTTGCAATCGCCAAAGTAAATAATAAAATGTTTCTCAATTAAAGTTAATTTAAAATAATTATATACTACATAAGATTAAGCACAAAAATTTGAAAACTAACACATATAGGGTAGTACTGAATTCCATACATTTCTAAGTCTTGTGCAACCCGCAGATATTCCATTTCTGCATCTTCCCTATAACACTGCTGTTGGTTTTACTTATTTTCCAAAAACAATCGACATAACTATTCATGAGTAGCACAGTTTTACAAATAGAAGTTTAATTTAAACATCGAATCTTTTTACTCAGCTTCCGATGATAAAAAACCACAAGTGTCTGAAATTACCTGCTTTGCCCACTATTATTTATCCACCACCGTTTGATACGTTCCTCCCACATTTGTGGTGTCATATCGTACTGTTTGATTACACATTCCGGCAATAACTCACTTAATTGCAATTTCGAACTTTCCACACAGTCACCTTGCTGAATAACTTACACTTCTTCAATTCATAACTTGTGAATTTCTAAAAATAAATAAAAGCATCTCTACTAGCGCCTTACTGATTCTGGGGCAGCTACAAGCGCCAAAAAAGTCTCGGAAGCTAGCAGTTTTTTACAGATGTAATAAAACTTACAATTGCCTGTACAGCGTATGATGCAAGAAGAACAGATGCTTCAGCAGAACAATATAGTTGCATACTTAGAATACTTTGTTTGATTTGAAGGAAGAAAAGATGACGCGTTATATCTTGTATAAGTTCTTCTTCGACATCTTCTGGATAAAACTTCACAAGAAATATGAGATGCATCGAACCATCTTCTTGTTTAGGCACTTCCTGTTTACTTATCTAAAGTTTGAAGTTAATAAATGATTGGTGATGGCTTAATGATAAGTGAAGTAATGTGCGATCGGCATTATGAAAACAAAAACACGCAGTGAATCATATCAACGATAAACATATTACACTTAACTAGTTCAGGAGTACATCCATGATATAAAATATAAAAATATCTTAAATTGTTCGAAAAATGAATCATAATCTAATTTTTATGATATGTAACATTTAATGAGCATTCACGATTTACTGAACGCTCCTCTATTATATTTAATTTAAAGAATGCAAAAATTTTGATGATTATGTGTCTTATTTAATTCACTAACAGATTAAGCATTAAAAATTTCCAGTTATCTTATGAGAACAAACAAACTTTCTTATCCATTTGTAACCAGCACGGAATCCCTTTTTTATTCACAAACTGCAAACCAAAAAACCAAATTTCCCTTAGACCAATAATCCTGCAAACCGTATCAAACAGCTGTCGTCCTGTACAGTCTGGCTGCAAATTTTTATGGAGAAATTAGAAGTGATACAAAAATTTAGATATACAAATAATTTTCAAATTGTAAAAAAGTCTAAATTGAACAACCTTACAATAATAACAGCAAATGCATAAGCTAAATGCATTTCAACGTTGTCATTTAATGTGCTTACATCGGTGATTACTTTCTTCTTGAAGAAAGATGTTAATCTGTGCTAGATAATATTTGAATTCGAAAACCAAGGAAAAGTAAGATTAAAGAATAAAGAAATCATCTCTAATTTTCGTTATTTCTCCAAGCACTCTAAGAACCTAATAACATACTATATTTTTCTTATTTGCAACAGAAGAACCGGCACGAACAACTAATAATTTAATGATGCAGTAGATTTATGATAGCATAATCTAATAATATATTAGTCTATTAAATCTAGTAATGCAAGAAAACAAATCACGAAGTTCAGTTATCTCTAAATTTATTAGTCACTAATATGTTACTCGAGCTAACAAATAAACCAGACAGCGACCAAATAAACAAACAAACCTCCACGGTAATTTTCTCCAGATCAGCATCCATAGTGCTTACTTTAACAGACAAATATTTCCAGCTACCACCAGGTGAAAAGAATCCCATTTTTGTACTATCACTGGTAACGTTCAATTTTTGATTCATCAGTTAATTAGTTTTAATTCTTTCCATATTATACGACTATCTTTCACATTCCCAATAAATTGAATCCAGCTGAAATAAATAAGAAATTTACATTACAAAATTTCATTATCAACGTGTTAATTCATTTTGATTAATATTCTCATTGACGATATAACAATTAGTGCTCATATTTAAAATGCACTCATAAATTATTTCGTTTACTATAACTAAGAAGAGAGGGAAAGAGAGAGAGAGAGAAAAAAAGGAAAAGAGAAAAAAAGAAGAGAAAATAACAACAAATAGTCATAACTGTTTCTTAACAGTGCTTTCATATCGAATGATTCGTAAACAGTAACAGTTGCAAAAGCTTAATGAAGGGAACTCACGTAGCAACACAATGGATTAAAGTGGAATTTACGGAACTACGTGAGATGCGTAAACGTAAAAAAAATTGGCTAACTGCACACTGTAGCACTGTGCAATAATTTTATCCCTCAAGTGAAAATGACGTACGAGTCATAATAAGTTGAAAGTTACTGTACAAGTTCGGTGACATCTTTTTTTTTTTCTTTTTGTCCTTTTAAAAGTTTATTTCTTGAAGTCTTATTTTGCTTCTGTTCGTTTCTTATATGCTTACTACTCTGATATATATCGTCCGGTAACAGTTATCTTCTAGTGACGTTCCGGAGACTGTATATCGCTTCCGGTGAGCAAGGAAATCACGTAGATGACTTCATTGTTAATTATTATCTTTGTGCACTTAGAGAAAAAAAAAGATAGTTAAGTGCACTTTGATACCGTAAACATTCTTCCATCTTTACGCATTCTTTATCTTTTTCTGTTCAAGTAACATTAATCCAATCATTTAATTTTATTAATTTTAAAAATATAAATTAACTATCAATAGTTATAATTGCAAAAATATAAGTTATATAAGACTAAAACATAACAAATCAACGAATTAAGTGGAAAATGTGTTGGCAGAATGCAAACGTTCACATAAATTACCAATAGATTTCAGAGAAAATGAATTTTGAATCCCCTTGTAGTAAAAAGAATTGATAATATTTATTATATCTGCTCAAAGTAAGTTAATATTTTCGAAATAAAGCTTTTCACCCCATATACAGCCTTCTTCTAACTATTGAATTTGTTTCTTAATATTATTGAAATAAACTAAATTTTTATTCCTGTATATGCTATTAATAATAAAAGAATCTTTCCTTGAATTGATATCCAAATTGCTCATTCAAGGAAAAATTCTATTTCTAAAAGCGCTAATCTTTGTTGAATGATATATTGCTATGGAATCTCTATCAGTATTTCTCTCTCCTCTTTTAAAAAATGGTAAAATTGTCTTTTAAAGGTGATAGAACTGTCCATTTTCCTGGAGAGCTTAATGCATCATTAGCGGAAAATGCGCATTGTAAAATAAGTTAGGGATTCAAAACTCTTAAAATTTCAAACATTGTGAAACTTGAAATTTCTATTATCTAACAGAAAAAGAAAAACAAGGATAATACAGGAAATTGATAGAGAGAGACAGTATTGGTCATATAATTTTAACATCTTGCAATCAGACCATTGATTTTTGGCTCCAATAAATTGTCAATTACCGCTTGCTCTAATTCGGCAAGTTGTTTCTGTATATCAGCTAAGTCTCTGAAATTATTCCTTTTAGCTGCCTTCAGTAGCACTCCGAATGAGCCACAATATCTTCTATTATATCTTTAGGCTGATCATCTTCCCTTATGCTTAACTTTGTTGGCTCACAATTTGAAATAAAAAGAATTTAAAGAAAATACTTTTTGGTTTTGCCTGGTGGTGATTTGAATTCAATATAATATTTGATTTTTGGTTCAGTTCCACTTGCTCGTATTGTTGCCCAACTACCATCCGATAATGTGAATGTAATCATTTCGGATGAAGTACTGAGCGGTAGAATCTATTAACAGATTTAGTAAGGAAATTCCGAATAAAGTCACTTTGTATTCCAAATCATTTAGTTAGAAACTAAATGATGAAAAAAGTTATTTTCCATGGAAATTTCTCCTGTAACTATATAATGCCAGTTAAGATTTGGTGAGTAATTTCTCGTCCTAGTTGAGATTAAACTTCAATCTTTAGTTAGTATCCAGCAATGAAATAATAAATCAACTATTAAAATATTTTCATCTGTAATTATTGCAATATGGCAAATTTAGACCATTGATTTTTCTATGATTATACTTTAACTATGTATAAAAGAATCCATTCTTTTTTTTTCAAATTTACTGTTTAATATTACTCTTTGATTTTTAATCCTCTTTAAGCCTATTTTTCTATATCATGTAATATGCGACATATAAAACGTCTAAATTTTCACAGAGTCGTACATTCATCGTGATTATTATAATGATTATTATAATGAGTAAGAAAAAAATCATCAGTCACAGTAATGGTTTTAAGAAATAATAAAACTTACTGGTTTATTTCCAGGTTGCTCATTATCATACCCAATCGTCAGATCACGTACATATTTAACATCGAATTTTCCAATTTTTTGTGGATACTGAAAATTCTTTTCATTATATTTATTTCTTTCTTACAACTACAATTATAAATGTATTTTCCTCAAAATAATATTTTAAATGTAAATCATACCTTACTGCCTTTACGTATTTTTGCAAAAATGTTCTTCATTGTTGTTTGATTTGGTACAAACCAATACGAGCTACTAATTAGATGAAAACCATACCTATTATAATAGATCTTTTACTTTCCGTAATCAAGGAGATTGAAAAAATATTCCGATCTTACTATTGCTATTATTACCCCAAATGCTTTCTTTTGAAAAAATTTGGGATTTTTTGACAGGATCCTTGCTAATATCTATGAAAACCTAGCTTTTTTTTCTCGAAAGATATCACTTTTTCGCTGTAATTGGATCAATTTTTTTTTAGAAAAAATTATATTTATATTTAGACTCACTCGCTGTAAATGTTGAGAAGTTGTTGAGCAAGAGTTAATTGCTCGGAATATAAATAAGATGTCAATTCAGCGAATGTTGCAGCTGCAGTAATACCATCTTTATCGAGGGCATGCCCTAGCATGAAACCAATTGATTCTTCCCATGCGAACAATACTGTTTTTCCAAGACGGCGAAGCTCATCCGATTTATTTCCTAACCACTTGAATCCGGTTAAACCTAGCTCAATTTTGAAACCTGGAATTAATTTGAAACTTCGTTTTCTACTTTTCAATCAAGTTATCAACTATCATTTTATCCAGAAAGTTGAAATTGCTTGATATTTCATATTCAATCATCTTACGTTCCAAATTAGATTTTTTTTTTTTTTTTCAATCAGTTAAACCACGATTGTAAAATACTCAGCTGTTTTGCAAAGACATAAGAATCATATGTTATTCTCATGTTAATCAACCTCAGAGTTTTGTATTTTCTTATATAGTAAACCTGAAAAAAAAAAAAAAAAAAATCGGGTCTAAATTTTTGTCACAAATTGAAGAACACAGTTCCTTAAATAATTGAAAAATTTCGATATCAGCTCATATCATATAGATGTTTCTTTCCAAAATTCGATTGGTGTAGTAAATTCTATAATTACCTTCTTTGGTTGCAATAGTACGACTTATTGAGGATGAAACAGCACTACTGACGATGTACAAATTTGAGGGATCCTTTTCCGGATTTTGTTCTCGCCAACAATGCCAAATCCACCATGAAATCAGAGCACCCATTTCATTTCCCGTAAAAATCTTCCATTCACCTCTAAAATTTAATAGAATTAGAAAATAGAATTAATTTATAATCTGTTCTACTAATAAATTAACTAATAATTGAAAGACTATTGCCTAGCTAAATCTAAATAGCTATACTATCAGTGTGCAGCGATATCGGTTTGTCGCAATTTTTATCCAAATCATCCACATTTCAATCACATAGGATAAATGTGATTGAAATATGCATCTTTTTCTTCTTTGTGGATATAAGGGATAAATGATTTAAGCCTTCAATGATCATATGATTCCTGTTTATATCATTTGTGGGTCGAGCTACTTTACCTCTCACCACAGACAAATTCATACCATAACATAATTGGCTAGATATATTTCTTCCCTACGAAAATCTGAGTGAATTAAAATCGAAATTATTACTTGGGTTGTTTTTCCGCTAACTGGAAACGATCAGCATCTGGATCATTGGCCAGAATTATGCTAGAATTATGCTTGTCAGCTGTTGCTATAGGTATTGTGAGCACTTTCCGACCTTCCTCTGGATTTGGAAATGGTACCGTCGGAAAGTCGGGATTTGGTTCTGCATGCTCCTGAAAAGAATTTCTTTATTACCGTTAATATTGGCAAAGTATTAATTGAAAACAATTAAGGAATGCAATTATTCCATACCTGTACGATAATTATATTTTCAGATGGAAATCCGAAATCTTTCAACATTCTTGTCATATACGGTAGTCCAACACCATGGAATGCAGTATAAGTGAATTTTATCGGACATTTTTCATTCAAAGACCTATTTTAAAATCATGCGTTATACATTAAATTGCAGAGTTTGCTTCTCAACAACAAAAAAAAAAAAACCATTAAAAAATATAATTTTATGACCACCACATATATAATTTTTAATTTCAGAACTTTATCTCCCATCTGTAAGTCAATCTAAAATATAAGAAATTTGTTTTCTTTTATAGAACATATCATTAACAGTACAATATTCGTCTTTAATTTTGATTTAGATTTTATTTCTACGGTCTCATTGCGTTTCATCACGGCTTATTATGGTGTCATATTCTCACCAATTAATGATTTGCCAATTATGACTTTTCACCAAGAACTTATGTTTAATGAGATATTTTCGTTTTAAATCACACTACTTTTTTCTCTATTAGTTTTCTTTTTTTAATGATAATATCATATTTCGCTGCAAAGTAAAATCCAAATGAACATATTAAATGTGATTATGCAGC